GTGAATGCGACATTACAGGCACATGCATTGACGATTGAAAAAAAGTAGTGTTTATTTATAATCACCTAGGACATTTATGGTGTGGGTGGCAACGCTGGATACATAGAAGTACACGTGAAATTCAGATGACTGCCTACCAACTAATTATTACATACCAGTCACAGTCTGTACGTGAGGTTTGGCAATCCCCACAGCCTTTGTTTCTCCTGCTCTATAGAGATGAGGGATAAGTCTTTCCAGCTGGGATCATGATGATAGAGAGCGTAGTACTTCCCAGCCTCAGCAGTGACTTGATCACGATCACTGAACTTCTCACGGAAGAGAGCAGCCCTGGCATCTGGTACTGTAGTGTAGCCAGATAATCTTCCCCCAGTCTCCAGATATGGCAGTAAAGACTGGTATGAGGAGGTGTGGATTGAGGGATGGATCTGAGGAGAGGACCAGCCACTGTCATCAATTGACTATTCCCAAACATTAATCATGTTAAGAGCATGTGTAAAGTGCATATCAACGCTGCATGCACGATCCTTGCACCGAGGGTGCCTTTTCATTAAGGATTTTGTATTATAATAATTTATTATACTTCAGTGCTTTTTGTTTCCAGCAAAACCTATTATAATGCAGAGGGAGAGTCAGGGAAGAAGGCTACTTCAAGACAGTTTCACAAAATCTAGTCTTCCACATGTCAACATGATGTACACACAGCTCATGCTGTGGTGGGTTTCAATATAGCCAGAGGTATACAATTGACTGGCTGTGTTGTGTTCTCTATTGTAGCCATACCTGCTGGGGGCTCTGCATACTCCATCAATGAGTCTGCTAGAGCTGTGTCTCCAATCAGTCCAGATGAATATCATCTTTCTCATTTTCATTGGATCTGTACTCTGTACATAGTACTCTACTGCACTGTCAACATCTCTCTTATCATCAGGGATGGAGAGCCAGCTGCAGAGGACACTGAGGTCACTGGTGTTCTCAAAGACCTTCCTGAGTGTGGCTTTACTTGGAGGGAGTGCTGCGAGGAAAGACAATGACATCATCACTATACACAAACATCAACCATAATGAGGACATGATTATTTTTATGGACGCACAGTTGTCTTACGTTTCTTCCACGTCCAGACCTTTTCCCCGCCTCCAGTAGCCATATCTGGCTTGCTGCTAGAGGCTCGCTAGCGGCTCGATCGCAGTAGGAAGACTGCAGATGTGGGGGTGTGGTTCGTCGGAGGGGAACCCCCTCCACAAACCTGCACAACCAGTTCGACAACCACGCCTTGTAGAGTGACGTAATTACCTCCATATTTAGAGCCGACCCATCTCTTACGACGACTGGTCGTTTGGTGTTGAGGGATAGACGTTGTATGGACGGCAGAGGGAGAGGAAGAGAGAGAAGATAGCGACTGGAAACATGTGGCGGAGGAGGGAGCAGTTCCTCTGCGGAGTTGTGGAAGGTAGTGGCCGTCTACCGTCTACTGTACACTGTACAGTGATAAACTGATTCTGTGGATGAGTGAAGATTGTGTGTGTCTGTCTCTGGACTGCAGGTTCTATGGGAGGCCATGGCTGTCCAGTCAGAGAGTTGACTTGTTCAACAGGTGAGGGAGGGGGTGAGAAGATCCTCAGTCACCCACACACTTCTATGATTAATGGAATTGTCCCTGTCAGTGAGGTGCCTAGTGCTTTTATTCAGGTTTGAGGAGTTAAACCTCTGAATAAGGGACACCGTGTGCGTAGGAAGTTTGTATTATACTCAATGAGGCAGAGCCAAATGTCCGCTATAGAGGGGTGCTCTTTATTTGAAGTGTCTGAAGAGGTTCCACTGTACTTTACCACTCCACTCCAAGTGTATTATATGTATCAGTGACATGTCTCTGTTCCGGTCCAGAATGAGTGAATGGGGTATGAACACCTACCTGTACGCCCCAAAGGACGACGACAAGCACAGGGCCAGCTGGAGAGACCTGTACTCCCTGGAGGAGGCGGAACAGCTCTCCCACCTCCTGCTCCAGGCCTCATCTCGCGGCATCATCTTCATCTATGCCATTGCTCCCGGACTGGACATGACCTTCTCCTCCAGTCAGGAAATATCCCTCCTCAAGAGGAAGCTGGATCAGGTCAGACCTTGTTGACCACTTTTCTCCCTTTTCTCTCTCCCTCCCCCTCTCTTTCCTTTTCCCTTTTCTCTTTCCTCCTTCCTCCTGACTTCGTTAAAAAACTTCGCCACTGAATCTCAAAATCTTGAGCAACTTTTTTTCCGTCTTTTCAGTCCTTGCTCCCATCTTCTATATGTATATCTCTTTATTTGTATCGTATCCTCTCTTATTTCCTCTGTCCTCTTTTCTTTACTATAGTAATTCACGTCATTGTATCTCTCCCTCTCTCAGGTGTCAGCTCTGGGCTGTAACTCATTTGCCATCCTATTTGATGACATTGACACTGATCTGTGTCCAGCCGATGATAAAATGTTCTCCTCCTTCGCCCACGCTCAAGTGGCCACCGCCAACGAACTCTACTGCCATCTCGACAGACCCAACGTCTTCCTCTTCTGTCCAACTGGTTCGTAACCTGACTGACCACATTCCATTCCCTAGGACATGTCCTGTAGCGGGAAATTTCACATGGTGCATAATTTCACGTTTTTCGCTGTACGGTACTGTTTTTGTGTATACTATTTTAAACAAGTGAAACATCAGAAAAAATACATACCTTCTGAATTGAGGAACACCTCTCTAACTGATACTTATTCTGCCTCATACTTTACATACCTTCTGAATTGATTCTATGGGTGGTGGTGCATGGCCGTTCTTAGTTGGTGGAGTGATTTGTCTGGTTAATTCCGTTAACAAACGTTTGAATGAGGAACACCTCTAAATAAAGCACACTACCTCTAAATAAAGCACACTGTATATCTGAATAGTTCAGTCTCCACAGCACGTTTTGCCTGAAATAGTGTAGTAAAAGTAATAATACGTGTCTGGTTCTTTGCTTAACCCTTTTCTCACAGAGTACTGTGAGTCGCGAGCAGTTCCGTCGGTCGCAAAGTCTCAGTACCTCCAACACATTGGAGCAGAGTTGGACCCTGGCATTGACATCATGTGGACTGGTGAGTCTGGGAGTCGGGAGGGAGGGAGGGAGGGAGGGAGGGAGGGAGGGAGCCAACATGTACAACTAGACAAAAGTCTCAGGCTGTATGGATGTGGTAGTCCATGTAGTACGTTGCATCGCAATAGAACTGTTCACACAACCTGTTCAATATGTACAATGTTTCCATGCATTGAAGAAATTGCATGAGACTTACAAAGTCCTCTGTGCATTGTGTTGTGTAAGTGCCTGCCAGCCATTTTCGAATTGTAGGATATTATTTTGAAACTCCACCCACCAGGTCCAAAGGTCATCTCCAAGACGATCAGCCTGTCATCAATTCAGGAGCTGAGCGGCATCCTCCGGCGACCTCCTGTACTCTGGGACAATCTCCATGCCAACGACTACGACCAGCGACGACTGTTCCTGGGGCCTTACAGCGGTCGCTCGGTGTCCCTCCGATCCCACCTCAATGGGGTCCTCACAAACCCCAACTGCGAGTTCTCCGCCAATTACATCGCCATCCACACCCTGGCCCAGTGGAGTCGATCCTCACTGCAACTCTGCAAGAAACCCTCCCCCACGCCAACAGGCATTTCAGTTGGAGGTCGAAGGTCAGGCAAACGAGTTTGACCCGTCTGACGAGGTGGGTGGGGCCAAGCAGAAAGTGGGCGGGGACAATACGGGGATGGAGGTTCATCTGTACGAGCCAGTGAAGGCGCTGGAGTTGGCGATGAAAGAGTGGCTTGGGGAATTCGTGAAGACAGTCGCTCAACCGGATCACTACCTTCCTGTCAAGAATGCCTCCTCCATTGCCAAGGCAAACGAGTGTGAAGAACTGGGACCCATAGACCAAGACGACATCGGGCAACGGGATGACCCGGATTCGAAACAGGTCGACCCAGAAATGGACCCGAAACTGTTAGAATCTGGATCGGCAATGTTGGTTTCGGAGGACCCGTTTTGTTACGAGGACCTGCGGCTGTTGGTTGATTTCTTCTACCTCCCTCACCAGCACGGGGAGATGGCCATGAGGGTCTTGGAGGAGTTCTGCTGGCTCAAGGAGAACAGCCCTGGTCAGTGGGAGGGGAGAGATGTGAATCAGTATTATTGAATGTATGCGTTTTTGGCAGGGAATATTTGGGTAGTATAATAACAACAGTAGTATACAGTAGAAGTCAAAAAAACGTTTCCAAAATCGTTCACCGTTCAACCGTTGAACGGCGTTCACCGTTCACCGTTCATCCTTTTCCTACGGAACGACGTTTCACCGTTCATCCGTTGACCGTTCGTGTTCGCGGCTACGCAACCCGCGATGTGCGCTAAAAGCTATCGACGAATTCACCACGGCGGAAGTCTAGCACCGAAATCGACGGTTATTTTTGCCAACTTTTGATACCGTGGCCTTTGCCAAGGCTTAGGCTGTGGTAAAAGCGCGCCTCGCTACTTCAGGATAGCGTACGGCCGTAACTAGAAAAAGTGGGAGTGGCACACGCGCGGATAATTGTCGAACGGTCTGAACGTGAACGGCTGAACGGTGAACGGCGTTTCTCCGTTCGAACGCCGTTCAACGGTTGAACGGTGAACGATTTTGGAAACGTTTTTTTGACTTCTACTGTATTACAACACAGTAAGGTGTTGTGGCAAAAAAGGGACTCACTTACTAGCTTACATACCTAAACAAATTTGCGCAATAAGAACCTCTGATATGGTGACAAGTGTTATTGCAATAATATTGTGGTACGCTTGAGTTGTATGAAGGTTAAATTGTGTCTCCGTTGGACCTCAGGTTACGATGCTCTGCGAGGAATGGGCAAGCTGAAGGGAAGAGATGGAGGGGGAGGGGAGGAGGTGGGAGGGAGGGGAGGGGGTGTGTCCTGTGATCGAGTTTCAGAAGACGGGATGAGAAGTGATGGAGAGACTTCAGACAGAAATGAGGAGGACCCCATTTCACCCCAGGTCAGCCCCCCTGACACACAAGTCAGTTTGGAGGAGCGTCAATGCTACCTTCACTTTAGAGCGTGCTGGTCACGAACATGAGTCCTTATCCATCAGACCACACCCATTTAGCGACTACTGTAACCTTCACTCTGCATGTGTGCCGAGGGTTAACAAGACTGAAAGCTAAAAAGTGTATGCTTCTTACAATAGCTATGCCATAATAGCTCTAAGGGCCAATTTACAAGGGCTCTAATTAGAAACAGCACGTGTGCATTTCCAGTGGTGGTGTGTCTTTACCAATCATATCAGACTGCCTAACGAGCAGGATCCTCCCCCTTATCTCCCTCCTCAGGAGGTGACGGAGTGGTGTGAGCGATGTCAGTCATTCCATCTCCTCTGTCAGATGGTCAAGGACATGTACAGCAGGCTGACAACCATTCCTAACAGACCTCTCCTCTATGACGTTTATCAGTACATGTGGGACGCCAAGGAAACCACCACTCTCCTAGACTCCTACATCTCCTGGCTGGGTAGGTGTACATGCCTGCTACTGCAGAGTGTCGTTGGTACGAGTTCCATACAATCCAAGGCAGCTCTTTTCTTTCAAACAATGGTACACATCAACATAAACTTAAAAATTAAAACTTCGTAGAAATATTGCTTTGTGTAATCATCATGTTTAGGTGCAATAAGGCATATGTAATTTATCGCTTCCTCTTTCTGTGTTGATGAAATCCCAAGTATTCCACATGAGCATTCCTCATTTAATTGCTTTCTCTCTCCCACACACACACACACACACACACGCACACACCTCCTACTCTTGTATGTTTACCATCTCTCCCTCCCTCCCATCAGAAATGGGGGGTAGTGAGGTCAATCCTAATCATGAACCCCATCTTCCTAGAGGTGGGATAACAGCAGAAATGCAGGTAAACTGGTCTCGGAGGTATATACAGTACAATAGTAGAGCCACAGACACACACCAGCTGTCTGCCACTGCTGACAATGTCTCGTCTCGCTATCCTAACTCACTCAGCTTTGCCATTTACAATGTCTTGTCGATGTTCAAGTTATAGGCAAACAGTTCTTTTCAATTTATCACTGCTTTATCAACACAAGACAGCTGCTATAGTTTCTTACAGGAGCTGATGTGTGTACACGTCATTAGAAGCCATATCCCATGTACCTACCTCCTCCGTCTTAATACATAGGCTTTTAAAAATTGCAATTGCATAATAATTATGTCACCAACATGCCGAGGGACACCCTTTTTTTAGAAGAGCCTGGACTTGACGTATAATGCAAATGATGTATGAGAAATGTTGTTGAATGGCAGTGGTAAGGTATCTGGTGAGGGGTCAGAGGTCACGGTATGCGGCGGAATAGAGGGAGAAGAGAAGGGGGAGGGAACAGTTGTCTGCCACACACGCAACACACCCACTCAGTGCAGTACCGTTAGTTCGAGGGTTAAAGTCAAATTTTAACGGGTTGAAAATCGGTCATGTCCCAACGTAATGAAAAATTTCTGCAGCAGAAATTTGAAATGAACGGTTCACCAGAAGGTAAGGTGTTTGGTATTGGTCTGTGGGAGTTGTTGGCACACTTTGGTAAGTTTTGGTACGGTGTGGTCAATGTGTGTCTGTGGTCAATGGTCCATAAACTGAGTCTGGGTAAGAGTGTCAGTGTGTGGCAGATTCCAATGTTCCGTTCGTCCATACTCTGTTCCTCGCTTCCTCCACACCGCGACCTGACTTCAGGAGTGGGCATTATTTAGAGATGCCCGCTCCACATGCAGCAGTAGCTAAAGTTGTACCACGCACCACAAAACGTGACAAAGACTTTAATGATGCCCAAATTTTTGCCTTTTTGATGAGGGGCTCCAATTAGAGTCAGTCTGTGTCTTGTGGTGAGTGGTGTGCATGTTCTGCCGGTCGTATCAGACTCACTAACGAATGGGGGCCTCCCCCTCTCACTCTCTCTCCCTCCCCCTCCTCTAGCACGCCCTCTCCTTCACCTGCAACTGTGTCCCCATCTATGACATGGACACCCCTTTTTAGAGCCCACCCTCTCGCTCGCTCGCTAACTTTCAAACTGTCGATCTCCTGGGTTGTATAAGGGTTGTTTTTCGAAATTTATTTCTCCGTTACTGGGTTAGGAACGTTCTAATTAATGGCATTTCGGTTTGGTACCTCTCCCCTCCCCCCTCGTTTTGTGGTTGGTTGTTGGTGGCCCCACCCCCCTTCACGATACGGTATGGTGTAATGGTATGCTTGGTCCATGATGTGGCCGTTTGAACGTGGTTGCTATGGCAACACAGTTGGTGCTCGACAGCGACAGTGACGATGACATCATTTCCACTGGTCACCATGGAAACCCTGTCGTCATGAGAACCGCAGCAGTAACTACAACAACATCATCTTCTTCGTATTGTATCACGTCTTCTCGTTGTTAAGATTTTATTATTTTACACAAAGTTCGTTAAGTTGTAAGTCATGTAAAACTTTAATTCAATTGCATCATGAAATTAAATGCTTGTGTTTTTTTTCCACCACCACGTAATTTATACATATGATGTATATCAAGATCTTTTAATTTTTGCAAGTAATCACTTTATTATTTTCATTTGACCATTAGTTTTCTGGAAAAAAGGGCGTTTCACTGTTTCTGTGGCAACCATTACGTTAGTGTAAACAAAATGTTTGGTGTGCACAATGTAGTGGTTGCCATGGTAAACATAATGCAAAAAACATTGCTTATTATTGTGACTTTAAAATGTGTGCGATGCAAGAGCTTCTGGAGACAATGCCATGTAATGGAGAGGTGATAAGCTAACCATTTGTAGGCATTTCCATATTTTCAGACCAGAATAACATAATCACTATTTACATGGCATTGTTTTTTAGAAACGACCAAAGAATAGAGATACTCGTTAACATGTTCACACAATTGTGTGGACGTGTATACAAAGAGTGTAAAGATGAAGGTATTTGTGTGGGTAGTTGTCAAACCGGTTTGTCTAGCTGGTCAAACCAGTTGACAAGCTAGGTCTGAAGAGGCTCAGGAATGTGATCATTGGTGACGGTGTGCTGCTATTGGAGAGCCGTTCGGGTTGTCGGTGTGTGTGTGTGTGTGCATCCCAACCTCTCGTTGCCATGGGGTCAGAGAGATTTTCTGAAAATGGTACATCACGGGTTTTGTGTTTTTCCATGTTCACGACTTACAACTTTCCTCCTCTTTCTCCCCCGCCCCAAACCCCGCCCCCTTTCCTATTTCCTCCCCCAAGGATCTCCTGCCTCGTCTGAAGTTGTCTCATTCCCTCTACCAGCGAAGCCACACCCCCAGATCCCCGGCTCCAGAGACATACACCATACGACCATATCGCACTGAGGACAAGGTCAGTGTCGTCCTGATCATAGATGTCCTGAATTAGCGTTGTCTATAAACATGGGTGTCCTGATGTGATTGATAGTTGTCCTAAACAAAAAGGGTGTTTGCCATGCAATACTGAACATCTGGAACTACATAAATCTTTAGGCAACAAATTTCAAATTGAATCGTTAATCTTGCATTGTTCATTAACAGCAAGTTTGTGCAGAATGTGATAGAAGGCCGATGAAATGAGATGGGGTGGGGCAACATGTGGTGTTGTTTGTTGTGTAGGAGATGTTGTACCAGGTTTGCCTGGAGACTGGAGCCAGTGGCTCAGATGCCACTCACTTGTTTTCCAACTTCCCAGACCTTCTGGGGGACAGGTATACACACACCACATGTAAGGTGTATAGAAAGAGTGCTTGACATGTGCTCTTGGACCATTGGCCTAACACACCCTCTATAGATGCTGTTTAGTATGCAGTTTGCCTTGTGTGTTGTGTTGTTGCACGTGGTTGTGTGAGACCCCATGTTATTCAGCCAACTGTGAACTTGGCTACTCAATACTGTCAAGTAGCCATCTCTCCTCTTCCACTTCTCTGGCCAGATATGTAGGTCCCTACGTCCACCTGTGTCCCGACCTGTGTTTTGTTCTGGAGGATGTCTCTGGTGTCTGTGGTTATGTCCTCGCTGCTCTCGACTCACAGAATTTCTACGACAGCTACCGCAGCAAGTGGCTGCCTCGTTTGGAAGGAAAATACCCTCCCCCGCCCCCCATTGGTTCCCATGGAGACAGCTCAGAGAGGGTAAACACATCTAACCATACATACATACATGTACTTGCAATATTATTATTATTGTCAAATTCCATTCGTTGAGATACCAAAGCACATGTATCGAGCAATTCTCCCTTTGTCCCGCTCACCTACAGCTGTCACATTTTCCTCCTATCTCTCTCCAACCCTTTCTTTTCCCCTGTTCTCGCTCCAGCAACCATGTTTTTTTCTCCATCTTGCAGGAGATGATTCGTGAGGTGCAAGCTCCCGACTTCTACCTCCCTCCTCCGCTCTATTTAGAGCACCCCTCCCATCTTCATATTGATCTGTTGCCCAGAGCCCAGGGAAAAGGGATGGGTACAGCCATGATCAAGACCATTCTAGCTCTCCTGAAGGCCAAAGGTAACCTGAACATGTGAAACATCCTGATTTTTTGTTAATACTTACCAGGCGTGGCATTTGATTACCCTCCATTGCCCCACCCCCTACAGGGTCGTCAGGGGTCCACCTGGAAATGAATGTTAGTAACAAGAAAGCTCTGAGATTCTACCTCAAGAGAGGCTATAGTCTGCTGGATTTTGACCACGAGACCCCTCGTGATGTCATCATCCTAGGACGGGAACTATAGACCACACCTACCAATTATGTCATTTCCTTTATTATGTCACAGGTTTAACTCTTCAATGACCACTCCTAAAGTGCAAACCCTCGGCACACTATATAGAAATGTGGAACCCATACACAAGTGTGGCACCACCACAATTGATGGTCTTGACCATGCATCAAAAAGAACAGCATGTTATGCACCATTTCCATGGATTATTATCAATAGGTTGAAAAAAAATGCCCAGCCCTGTATCTGTTTGCAAAAAAATATAAGGTTGAAAAATTGCCAACCTTTCATCTCTCTCTTAATTTTAGTATTACTGGTGGATTGTTGAGTGCAAAAAAAATTTGTAAACCCAAGGTTTGAAAAGAAAAAAAACGCCCAGCCCTTCATCTCTCCAGACAGACGTCTACGGACGCAGTGCTATGCCGAACTGTACGCTGCCCTTTGAGAAACATTGGTCAGTGTGGTAGATTTGTGGGTAAGGGGAGGAACCAGAGCTGTTCCCAGCCAATGCTCTGGACCACCTGACACTTTCAGTGCGGGATCGGGATACGAACCCCGCACCTGGTGTCAGTCTCCCACGCCACTCAACTCACTAGCCACTCACCCTAGCCACTCGGGCTGGCCTGGAAAGGTAATGAAAAAACGTTGCATATATTATACCAACACTCCTATTACATCATTGTAAAAAAGGCGTATACACCCGGGATCGAACCAGGGACCTCACGATCAAGAGAGGGGGTGCTTATCCACCAGACCACCACCCATTACTTGAATGGGAACAGTGTAAATAGAGCACTGAAGTGCAAACCCTAGGCGAACTGCGCATGTGCGGTACCGCTGATGGGCTGGGCCGGCTATTTGCGTTTACTCGATCGTGAAGTAGCTCGCGAGAGTCTGACACGGGCTAGCTACAGTATATAGTATAGCATGCGGGAGTCGATAAACGCCCTTCGTTGTGACTTCTTGTTCCTCCGAGGTACACAGAGCAAGCGGACCCGGTGTCGCGGTACATTTCATCCCCCCGAATTTTTATCCGGCCGGATAGGATATTCTATCCCCCCACGGATAAATTTTCCTAGGATATTCTATCCGCACCCGGGATATTTTATACCCCGTGCTGTGCGTTATTAGGAGTGTCGAAACGCAGGCGGGGTGTGTTGTTTTGAGGTTCTGTGGGGGATTTCAACGTTACAGAATGCGATGACAGCCTTGTTTGGAGTTACACCAGCGGACTGTAGAACACTACCGGATATCCCAGCGAGCGTGGGGCTCAGGTTGCAGGTGAATGCGAGCAGACCCGCGCAACCGCTGTGTCTCGAAGAGAAAGAGAGTGCAGTCGTGCAGATTCGACTCGGTATGCATGAGCAGCGACGGTCCCAACAAAATGGTCCCGCGCGTTTACCGTATGCGCAGAAACTTTTCTTATTAGAGGGATAAAATATCCGGACCCCGGATATTCCACACTAAGAGTATTCTATCCGGCCGGATAGAATATACTATCCCCCGGATAAAATACACGGGGGATAAAATATACTGTGACACCGGTCGAGGTAAGCCTGTGCTAATTTGCATATTGGCTTGTTCACTTGGTTTTCATGCCATAACTTCTGAACGCGGCACTTTTACAAAAATCGCCATTTTAAAAATGAAGCGGGTGTAGCGCTGAACCCGTTGGTGTCGCTATTTTACCTGTTTGTCGCGCGTGGTGGCAGAAAACGCGGACGGACGGACGGACGGACAGACAGACGGACAAACACCAACCCTCGCTGCGCATGCGCGCCGCCGAGGGTTAATCACATCTCTGCCAAACTGTACGCTGTCCTTTGAGATGTACATGGGTCAGTGGTAGATTCATGGGTAAGGGGAGGAACCAGAGCTGTTCCCAACCAATGCTCTGGACCACCTGACAGTTTATTTGAAGCCACTATTTCATGATTAAAAAATGCAAAAACAATATAGCTCTCAGCCAACCCACATCATTGTAAAAAAGGCGCCTGGGACCTCACGATCAAGAGGGGGGTGCTTATCCATCAGACCCCCCACCCATTACTTGAATGGGAACAGGGAACAGTGCAGTGCATGTAAATGAAGTGTCGGCGCACTGTGACGCGCACGCGTAAGTAAACGCATGCGCAGTACCACCACTAATTGGTGGGCTGGGTTTAGTTTTAGCTGTTACTCGCGGTCTCTTGCCAGCTCGCGCAGAGTCTGACGCGGGCTAACTACACTATTAGATAGCATGCGAGAGGCGATACACGCCCTGCGTTGCATCTTCTGGTGCCTCCGAGGAACGCGGATCGATCATGGCGTTGTGTATTTGCATATTGGCTTTTTCGCGCTCTAGCTTTGCAACGGAGCGTTTTCAGAGAAATCCTTTCGAAAGATCTGACCTTCATTGCCCGTTCAGTAGTTTGTGAGACGAACAAACACTCGAGAAGTGAGATGACATGCGCGCCGAGGGTTAAAAACGCAACTCCGTCTGAAGGGAAAGAATACAAGAGTAGCTAGCTAGCATACAGTTACTCAGTCACGTGAACCAGACATGGCTGAGGAACAATAAAGGCCACGTTTACACATGAAGGTATTGACCATGTGACATGGACAAATTGAACTAGTTTGAAGTGCATGTCATGTATGTAAACTTACCGTTAAGGCTCAATAAGCCAGCATGTGGCAGAAACGACTTGAATAATCATTGATAATTTGTGAAATTCACATAATATAAATGCGTTTTGGCTAGTTTTCTCAGACGAGAGAGTATCAGGAAGACAATGATTGCTACATGTGATCATGAATCAATTGGAGAGAGGAGAGAGTAGTTGTGTCAAAGATCACAATATGAGGAGTAAAAAGAGGAGACATGTTGTGATTAAAACAAATTTCATCAGTTGGAGTAATTTGGAGAAGTCCTGTCCTGATCTAATGAGGTGGTCTGATGGTCTTCTTCCGTGCCTGAATCTGAATGACCTCGAATGGTGGAAATGGCTGTGTGCCACTTGCAGAGGATCCCTGGGAGTAGGCCTGAGTAGAATGTGCACAACATATTTGTAATTATGCCTGTTAGCACTGCGCAATGTTTTATTCTATTATGCTTCCACAAGTGGTAAATTATGCTTAAAAAGTTCATGATGTGAATTACACTTTTTACGCATACCTGGTTCTCGTGGCGGGTTAGCGAATATTTTTCGCTTGCTAGTCAACTCAGATTTCTTAGGCGCTCTCAACCGCTCCAACAAAGAAACAACCGTGCTACTACTCGCCTCTGAAGTCGTCGTGGTGTCTCGTTCTTCGGTTGCTTCTTGCTCGTCGTTGTCAAAGGAGCTTTCTTCGGAGTCTATTTCAGCTGAAACATCACAGACGCTAGTCGAGGCACTAGTACTCGCCATGTTCTCTAGCTAGGCGCACGCACACGTGGCTCGGGCCACACCCTCGGCCGTGCCTACTAATCAAGGGCGCTTTTAGCCCAATTTATGCTTGAATTATGCTAATTCTCACAATACGCAATTATGCTGCAAATAATGCGAGCATATTCTACGCAGCCCTACCTGGGAGAGAGTGTGCAGGGAGGAGGAAGGGAGGGAAGACGATCTCTCCTGAAGGATGGTCATTCCTTCGAGGATTGTCTGCCTATCTCTGTCTCCCACGCCCCACAACTTCAGCTCCTGTCAGGAAAAGAGACCCCATCTCTATCGACAATTTCCCCAGGAAACCATTAGCAAGATGGTTCAAGATGGAATTTGGGACACCTCACTAACAATCAACACTTCACTCTGGTGTCTGGATTAGAGGGGTTCACTGCATTATGTGTACATACAACAGAACAGAAGAAGAAAGCAGTGTAAATATTAGGTCCTACTGAGAAAGACAGAGTGAAGTGAGGAGAGAGGGAGAGACAAAGCTGACAGAGGAAGATGGACTGACATTGTCAGTGACAGAGAGGGCCTGGAATGTTTGGCGGATGCCCTTTTGATGGAAGAGGGGGATGTGGTGGGCCAGACCAAGGCCCTCCAGCCAACTCTCCATGGAGGAGGCTGAGCCGTGGCGGTGCAGTTGTGGAGGCTGGGGGAGGGGGGAGAGAGGAGCATTATATAATAAAGAGTTAACTCCCTATATTTTGAAAGGGGCAATGTGCCCGGTATATACATAAGGGCACTTATAAATGTTACTAAAGATGGAACTAAACAATAGGGCTCAATGCAAGAGATGTACATACATACCTCGGTGTTGGTAGGTGAGTCGGGATCATCAGGAAGGATAAGAGGAACAGTGAACACCCTCTCCAGTAACTTGACTGCCTCCAGCACGTGAGGAAATATCTCTGGGAAGGTCTGTCAGAGGAAGAGAGAGACTGACACTGTCAGGGTGTCCCTCGGGAGGCATGGGGTGCGCATTGGCATTCTACTTGGAAAACTGTTTTCCCCTCTTGTTTAATTATATTGGTTCTAACTTCATTATCGTAATACAAGAAGGGGGCAGGCTAGTATGGAGGGTGATCAGTTCAAACGCAATTTTATTGCTGATACTAGCCGTAAAATTCACCCTTCAAGCAAAGTTAGAGTCTTTGACCAAAGCTCTCACATCCGGCTTGCCTCAATAGGCAAAGTGTACTGTAGTCAGCCACATAGGCAAAAGTAGTGTATGGTTTACCTTGATTGTATATTCTTCCTTTGTCTTGGTGACCTTCGTGACCTTTCTTGGCGGGAATGTAGTCTGCTCCACCTCCTCCTTCACGGGGGCAGCTGCATGCAGTCACACACACAGAGAGACGAGGAAAGAAGAGAGAGTAACACAAGAGGATAATTACGCAGCATTTCTTTGCTATTGGGGAAGAGGTAAAGGCAAATTGTAGTTCAGTTGGTAGAGCGCTCGCCTAGCTCTGCAGAGTGTCGTGGGTTCAAATCCCACCCAGGGCATCTCTTTTTATTTCACTTGCTTGCTTTGTCTTTGTCTTCCTACATCGTAGTTGCCTCATTCATTACCAAGTTACTTGAGGTCTTTCACAACAAGAGTTTGTACATATGCTGGTCTCAGCGATTGGGTAGAACATCCTACCTCTCTTCCGTCCTCTCCTTCTCCTCTGGCTGTCTTCCCCACTCCCTCCCTCCTTCCCCCGCCTCTCGTCCGCACTCATGTCTCGCCCGGGAGACGCACACACCCTCACATCCAGCACAGCTCTCCCCAGAAGCTCCCTCTCACTGTATTAACACAATACTACTATAAATATACCACATTTTTGGCAAGCGAACGCGAGTAGTTTATTGCATCACGTGTCTATTTAGAATCCCATTTTCTCACTAAAAAGTTAGCCCAAATTTTTAACTTTCCCTACAAAACTTTTCCTCCAGCTACTGTATATACGTCAGAATAGTTAATTAGTCCGTCTTTCCCCAACAAAGTACAGCTGCCGTATTTTTTTGCTCACAGTTCAACTCTGAAAATCAGCTGAACCAACTGCCCCGCTCTCTTGAAGTCTGACGTAAAACATGGAAACTTCAGAAGAGCTGTAAACAGAGAATCTCCAGCTGATGGGAGAGAGAGAGAGAGAGAAATGGTTAGGGAGGCAGAAAGGAAGAGAGGAGGAGGGAGGGGAGGTGAGGGAGTGAGGTGAGGGAGGGGAAGAGGAGGTTCTTACATCTCTGCAGATTGCTGAAGGGGAGTGCGATGAACAGTCTCTGATCGGGAGCAACTGGGTTGCCAAAGAAGGCACATCCATCCATTTGAGATCTGACAAAATGGTACGGATGATGAACACCTGAATATAGAGAGAGAATATAGCAGTCACCAAATACACAGGAATGGAATTGAACTGTGCATTCACAGAGGTCGATTCTCACCATTTCTCTTCTGTTCTTCGACATGTTTGATGCAACACTGGAGGTTCTCTGCCACCATCTCTGGTTGTTTGTGGACGGCTGTTATCACCAGCCGACATCTCTGGAGACCTTCGAATGCTGCAGGAGACAGGAGACAATGAGAAACGTTGGGAAAGCCAGCCCACATTTACACATGACATGGTTATCTGGATTGCACTATTTTCCGTCTTGCCACTGTAACACATACAATGTTTTTCTGCGATTTTGCACTGGCAGTAAACACCTAACCTTCACTCCCATTTTCTCGCCCAAAATATGCTCAATAAAAGTTGGAGACAAGAATGTGAATGTGCATCACTAGGATTCTTAGGACCCCAATGGTGCAGTGTGAAATGTTCTAAGGTTGTTACAGGTTGCTACGTAAGAGGTTCCAGGTACTAATACAGTAATGAAAAACAAGAAGAGAGAATGGAAAAGGAACGACTAACACTGGACGGTAAAGGAGAGAGGAATGTCGGCATCTTTCTTGATGTACATCCTCTGGGTGATCTTGGAGTAGGCGGAGTGGGGTGTCTTGGAGTACTGAGGATGAGCAGTGTCCAGTGATATGTCAAACCCATACCTCCCTTTCATTGAGGTGCTGTGGAGAACAGACGGAGGGAGAGAGAAACAGAGAGGTGAAACTTTCAACTGACAAACCCCTTAACGGATTTATTGTCATGCTGTTTAAATCTACAATTGTGGGCAGCTTTGAAACTTTGTAATTACGAAAATCTTTTGCACAAAGTCTTCCCTATGTACAGGATAGTGGAAGAATTGGAGGTCTTATACCAGTAGTATATAGCCTTAGGCAATATTATTTTGTAAAAGGAAAGGCGAGATAAGGCCAAGATTAGTATTGCTATTCCACCCTTGAACATTAGTCAAACTATTAGGGATGGTTGGTTTGTCATTTTGTTTACCTGTGTTCCTGCAAAAATGCAAACTGTTCTTATGATGGATGAGGGAGTAAAAGTACAAGGCGAGATAGGGCAAGATTAGTATTGCTATCCACCCTTGAACATTAGTCAACTATTAGGGATGGTTGGTTTGTCATTTTGTTTACCTGTGTTCTCGCAAAAATGCAAAACTGTTCTTAGGATGGGATGAGGGAGTAAGAGGAAAGGCGAGATAGGGCAAGATTAGTATTGCTATTCCACCCTTGACATAGTCAAGTATTAGAGATGGTTGGTTTGTCGTTTTGTTTACTCGTGTCCTGCAAAAATGCAAAACTGTTCTTATGATGGGATGAGGGAGTAAAAGTAAAGGCGAGATAGGGCAAGATTAGTGTTGCTATTCCACCCTTGAACATTAGGCAAAGTATTAGTGATGGTTGGTTTGTCATTTTGTTTACCTGTGTTCTGCACAAAAATGCAAAAACTGTTCCTAGATGGGATGAGGAGTAAAAGTAAAGGCGAGATAAGGCCAAGATTAGTATTGCTATTCCACCCTTGAACATTAGTCAAACTATTAGGGATGGTTGGTTTGTCATTTTGTTTACCTGTGTTCCTGCAAAAAATGCAAAACTGTTCCTAGGATGGGATGAGGGAGTAAAAGTAAAGGCGAGATAGGGCAAGATTAGTATTGCTATTCCACCCTTGAACATTAGGCAAAGTATTAGAGATGGTTGGTTTGTCGTTTTGTTTACTCGTGTTCCTGCAAAAAAATGCAAAACTGTTCTTAGGATGGGATGAGGGAGCATTGCTATTCCATTTGCCCCATTGCACCGTACCGCATCGTAAGGATAGAATCCATTCCATAATTATGAACCTAACCTAACTTACTTGTACGGAAGGTTGGAACAGATGGAGTGAGGTGGTTGAGGGAAAGAGGAGAGGGAGAGATGGGAGAGAGGGGAGGTGTTGTGGGAGTACGGAAGAGGAGGCAGAGGAGGAGAGTCGAGAATAGTTGGTGAAATTCCACCATTTCCTCCGACTTGGGCAGAAGGCCACGAGATTAGGCTGTTTGTTGGTGTAATGGGTAGGGAGGAGTAGGAGGAGGTAGGGGGGGAGGAGGGTATGTGGACATGCTGTGAGGCTGCGGACTCTGGGGAGATCTGGGAGACGGGGGAGAGTGGGGAGAGTGGGGTGAAACAAGGAAAGATGAAGGAAAGATGAAGGAAAGAAGATAGGCACACACAAGCCACAGGGTATAGAGAGAATGGAGGTAGAGGTTACCTGAGTAGTGGCACTAAAAACAGCTCGACGCACGCTCAGAGATGATGTGCCTGGGGGAAAATGTTAATCTCATGGTATAAGGTATGTACACTGATTGTCATGTCAGTCTATGTGTTAACTAGCCGTAGATCAGTTTTAGTTCAGACTAAGTTTTGAGTCACGAAATCTGCTGGTCAGCAATTTGCAATTTAATCTTGGACACACCTTGTTCAATTCCATATCCATCTTCTTCTTCCTCTCCCTCGTCATACTCAGTGATGTATTGCTCCGTCACACTGCACACAACAATCAACATGCAACGATCTCACCCACCATAGTAATACAGTGGAACCCTTCTACAAGGACACCCCTTATGTAAGGACAGTCCTCTCTATTAAGGTCACTTTCTCTCCTTAAGAAAACGTCTAATAATAATACGTCACACATTTATTACACGATCTAATTTTTCAAATGGATTCCACTGCAGGTATATAGTGAATTTCTTTGAAAAGTTGGAGTGTGTTGATTATAGTACAGCTTCAAATAATACAGAACCTCTCCACCCACCAGTCATTGACGTTGATGTAGCCAGCAGCACTCAAGATGTGGTTGGTCGTGTCTTGGCTGAGACCCAGACTGACCTGGAACAGGGGCAGTGTGCTATTCCTCGGTGGTGAGGTAATAATTATGGCTTACATTAGACAGTTGGCTGTCTGACACGGTGTCATTGAAAGACATGATCGCCCACTGACCTCTCCCCGTCTAGCGCCACGATCTATTATGAGACACAGTCACGTGAGACGACGTGCGCGCTCTCTGCTGCGTGATATTCACACACACCTCTTCCACGTCACCTCCAACCAGTACCTACCTCTTTCTCTGTCGAAGGAACAGTCGCTGATCAGCAGGTTGCGCCAGAATTTTTTTGTTTCGTGTCAAGGTCAAAGGTGGTAGCACGTGGGTCACGTCTCCAATTCCGTAATCTTTCGTATACGGACACGTTGCTACGCGACGAAACATGTTTTCTCTCTCTGTGTGAGCTCTCAAGGAAGGAGGGAGTCATGCTTCGCGTGCAGCCGAGACCATCGTCCAGTGAGAGCGCTTCAGAGCTTGACGCGGCAGGTTAGCAAACTCCTCGCGGCTGCAAACGCTCCGCTCCATTGTCATCTCTCCGCCCCAGCTCGAGAGGACCTGGCGAGACTGCAGCGAGGGTACCGCGTGAAGGAGAAGGAGAGGAAGACGGAGGGCGACCAGTCCCAGTATACCCTCCGGAAACAACAGTTAGTGTTACACGGCACTCCCCGTCCTAAATTGGCACTATCATGTAGGCAGCTGCAAGTTTGTCCAGGCCAGACTTGCTCACGAGGCTAACGCTCTGTCCTTGTCAACCTTGGTAACTCAGCTAACTGACTGCACTATGCAGGAGCCTTTCCCTGTGTTGGTAACTACATAGTCAGAAGAAAGTGTTCTTATAATATATAGTGAGGTGAAGAAGAGGTGTCCTCATTTCAGGGGTGTCCTTAGAGAGGGGTTCAACATTATATGTTAAGATGACTCTCGATGATGCACTCCTGTTGGCAGGTCAATGATAGAGAGTCTGCAGGCAGAGAATGCAGATCTTAAGAAAAACCTCAGTCTAGCTGGCAGCAGGCAGAATGAGCTAAAGGTACAGCTAGCCTCATACGCAGTACTGTATGTCATAACTGAGAGGTTCTGCTCCAGAGTCAACTGGTGAGGGAGAAATTTGACGAGCTTCTCTCACATCAACGACAGTACAAGGTACGTTAGACAGACGATGATGAGCCAGGGTAACCACTGGTATACACTGCCTCTCCTTTCAATGGGCATGGGGTGGTTCAGTTCCTGTTCCAATGTGTACATATGTGTATCAGGAGAGTGTGGCTGAGGAAGAGAAGGCCACTGAGATATTGGACCAAAAGATTCGAGACCTGGAGAGAGACATTGCTCAGCAACGCAAACACATGGGCGGGTTCGTTACCATGACACCATTCAAACAGATAAGCATTCTTGACAACAACAACAGGATAAGGAGTGGCCTTAAAACGTGTAAAAAATTTGCTCTTTTGACTGAGCATAACTTAATCATACACACAACATGTGTATTTTCAGAAAAGAATGAGCATAATATTAATTAAACATACACATGTGTATAATGTGCTTTCAATTACACGTAAACATTAAACCAGCAAACGAGAGTGTGCGATTTTGGTCTCAAGTAGGATTCAAACCCACACGACTCATTTTGTGCTACAAGTATATAATACATAATGATGTTCCCACTGTAATAATGTATGTAGTGTATATCCCTACCTCAGAGTCCATGGGGGTGAGCAGCAACATGGGGGACTCCAGAAACAACTGAGGGTCATGGAAAACAGACTGGAGAAGGTATGTGTATATATATCAGGTTTTGATGCACCATGCTTTCTTCACATTTCTTACATACCTACTGCATATACTGTATATACAGTGGGAAAATGTTGAGCAAGAAATCCATTTTCGCAGTTTGCAAGTCGTCTTTAATAATTTTCCACGAACGTTTGGAACCTTTTCATAGAGCATGGACGTTGAGTATGCAACCCAGTCCCACCCTACCGATCCACCTTCCTCCATCCCTTGGCATGGGCGAATGAAGCCCATTGGGGATGTTGGCCACCTTTTTTCTGTTACTAATACTTACAAATCGTGGAAATCTGTTTTCTCTGCAAACAACAGTTTCCCGCTGTACTGCTGCATAAAGATGTCACTGTCTCTCTGTGTGTTTCTCTCCCTCGTCGCCCGTGGTGACAGTCATCAGTCCGGTTCAACAGCTCTCTGGCCACCAACTCCCAACTGAGGATGAAGATAGACCACCTCCGACAAGAGAAGGCCGTCTTTGAGGGAATTCACAAGAAACTGCAAAAGGTACACGTGCAACACAACATCTCCTCTCCCTCTCTCTTATGGAGCCACACAAATCACCGCATTTCTCATGTCTCAATGTTTCGTGTCCTATACTTATATACCACAGTTTAGTCAGTGGTATTTTCCTCCAATTTGTGTCCGCACCAATAAATTATCTAAGAGATTTGACTGAAGGCACTTCTCTACAACTCGCCACATGTACAATTAAGTCATATCTTCTCGCACTCTTTCTTCCCACACACCCGCATGCCCGCACACATACACACACACCACAGGAGCTGCTGAGCTGTAAGAGGAACATAGGGGAGGTGATAGAAGCATCCACGCAGGGCTATGACTCCAGAGATGAGGCCCAGACCAAACTGCTCTCACTCAAGGAGAAGGCCGACAAGGAGGTGGCCCAGTACGAGATGGAGGTCAAGGTACATACGCATGCAGTAATCTGTTGTAGAACATTCTGTAGTTATGTTTCAAATTTTAATGAGGTATCCACACATTAATATTTTTGTATTACAGCTTCAAAAGTTCATTTTATACGCATTTCCTTCACGTACACAATACAAACGTACTACATACATATTCGTTTACGTAACAAATCTTTCTTCTCTCGTAAACGAATAGCAATATTGTCTGAATTCTCCACTCGTCACACTGATGATGTAACCATGTAGGAGCTGCAGAGGCAGATAGACTACGACAGAAAGTTGAGGGATTTCATGAACCGTAAGAACCAGGAGCGGGCCGAGGCCCACATGGAGATCGAGGCCAGGAAGATGAGGAAAGAGGTGGAGAAGACCAGCACCAGGGAGAGAACTGTACTGGTGAGGATTCACACCCACACACACATTGAGTCACCTTTTATAGTAGGGTCACTCCTTCCTTATTAATAATAGATTGATAGGTATGTACGGTGCAAATCTGCAAGATCATTAGAATCTGAGCATATCAAACTGTTGTATATTATAGTGGGGCTGATAAAAGTCACCTCTTACTTACAACACACATTATTAGTTCGACACCTGTCTAGGAGTCATCTATGGCGAAGTTATGTTCCCCATGGGCTCTTACACTGTATTTTGTCTTAGCGCAAGTTCATCTTTGTCCTTGATTTAACACTGCTTTATTACATACACCTCTCCTCTTCCTTAACGCCATACTCCCTCTTTACTCCCCATGTTGTGAACACACACTCAGTCGTATGAGCAGGCATTTGAGAAGATAAAGAAGGCGACTGGTATCACTGACATTGACCAGCTGGTCTCCAAGTTCATTGATGGTCAGCTCACATCCACTTTTGACAATTATTACTTTCATGCCGAAATGGTAGACATGATAATAACAGTGCTATCGACCAATATGGAAAATGGGGGCGGTTTAAATTTAGCAAGTTTGTGGGGGGGGAGGACAGAGCTTCCAATGATTCTGAATACCTTGAGTATATAGCTGGAGAATGCAGTGCAGATGATCCTCAGGATTAACTGTTGATGTATTTATTCTCTCTTTCTCCGTCCAGTGGAAGACCAGAACTTTGCTCTGTTCAACTTTGTCAATGAACTGAATGCCGAGATTGAGACAGTCAGAGATAAAATATCTCAGGTCAGCATCTGCTACAGTATCTCTTTTTTTTCTCAACAAATTTGTTACAAAATCGCGCAAAAATATTGGTAGCAAAATTGACTGTAAATATGAGCAATTTTAGTTTGTCACTGAATGAAATTTCCCACTGTATTATGTATGGTATAGAGTAGAGTAACAAACATGGATGTGTAGTCTCTAATATGTAGTGTGAATGCAATTTCACTTGCTTTCGCAAAATTCGCACAAGTACCCGTAAAAAATGTTGCCTTCTGCTGTTTTTCCTGTACAGGTGACAGAGGAGATAGAGAAGTTCAAAGGTCAGGGGGTGGAGATGGAGGAGAAGAGGAGAGCCATCCTCAGAGACCTAGAGGTGCACTACATACATACATACATACATACATACACTCTCTGTTCGCAGTATAATCATACAGGAAGATGTTGGGCATATACACATGCACATGGGCAATAGTTGTGTGCCACTCTCAAGAAAATATTATAGGAAAGCACCTGTCCCTGGTGTGCCCATGTCTCATTGGACACTGTGACAGACTCTCCAGAAATTTAGCTCCTTCTTCTCTCCCTCTCCCTCTCCCTCTTCTTCCTCTTCCTCTCCCTCTCTTCTCTCCCTCTCCTCCCTCTCCTGCAGGCTGAGCTGGCCAGGGTGGAGGAGGAGGCAGGGGAGTTTGAGAGAAGGTTCAAGACCTCCACTGCCACTGTGGAGCAACTCCTGACTGGTACATACATACATCACCTGAATCTTCTCTCTCACAATTCTTGACTGTATGAGACATAATACACAGTAGAACAGCAAAGAAAAGTAGTAGAGAGTCATTTATTGAGAGGTACACTAAAGCATTAGCACCAATGGGGGGGGGGGATAACATGGAAACAAGTGTTCATAGACATCCGAAGTGTTCCGTAATTAGTTTTCCAATTCAGCAACACTACTTTCTTCTGTCCCATGGTACTGTATCATGAAGTAGAGTATCATTATTGGAAAACAAAGCAAGCCTATATACCTAGTCATCTGAATGCAGGGATTTTTTTAGACGGACACTGGGTACTGCACATACAGTATTGCTAAATACACAATAAATATTGAACTGTTCGCCCAAATTTTTTTTTTTTAAGAAGGAGCCCCCCATAGAACACTGTACTTATTGAACTTTGAACAAATCCCCAGCAATTTATTAAAACGAGACTCCCATTCTATGTGTCCTCTCCCCTACCTCTCCCCCATCAGGAGTTGACTCAGTGTTCACCAAGACAGGATGTGACTCGTCTGCCATCACCTCTCTCCTTGGAGGACACTCCGGAGTAACTGAGACCACCATACTCCAGTACCTCGGGGTAGTGGAACAGAAGACCAACGAGTTACTCCAGCTACAGGCCTTCATCAAGGCCAAGGTACTTAACCCTTTCAACACTGCTATCACCTTAACCCTGTCCACTACACTGTCACTTAACCCTTTCCATACCACCATCTTTCCACACTGCGTATGTACACAATCTAACAATTTTACGTAAGTGGTTCAAAGTTGATTAATAACTCGATCATACACATACAATTTGTGGATGCCGTTTGAAGTAGGAAATGTGTGGTGTGGGTGATTGTATCTTTCTCTTGTGGGTAGTGTTACAGAGACAGTGGTATTCCTGTCTGCATATTTGGCTGGTATACAGTGTCACCAGTCCACATGTTCCCACATGTCTTGCGGTGTGTGTGTGTGTGTGCCATCCACCATTGGAGGGGCTCTGTGTACTGTGGAGATATACCTCTCAATGACATGTCCACACTTTATGACACCGCGTCAGTGTTGTCCACATTATCCAGATGGATGTGTGGAGCGTTTCTCAATCCCAAGCCTCTCTGTGGACAAAACCTTTACTTATAGTATGTGTTAACAGAGGCAAAGGCAAAACAACTACTGACCACATTCAATGCTAATTTGCCAAATCCCAGCTTACACAACTACAAGCAGCACACCGGCTGACACAATGTTGTAAGAGTCTATATATGTGTCCTCCTGTGTGCTAATGTGTGTTGTATACAGGAGTCGGGGGATCCAGAGCAATGACCACCTTCCTAATGGGACCACGGGTCAAGTTCACTTGGAGTCACATCTGTTAGTTCTGCCTACTGTACGTGAGTTCACATCTTCTTTCAGCTTCAATCATGTCTCATCCCTCTCTCTCTCCCTCTCTCTCTCACTCTCTATCACTCTACGACTGAGCATTAGTAGATAGACATCCTTATGCCTCTTTCTCTCCCCACTTACTATCACCAATATCGTTCATCCTCTCCACCACCCAATACACTCTCTCTCTCTTGCCCTCGTCTATCTACTCTATATACCGTACCTGTACCATACCTACCTCTCATTTCCCGTCATCTTCTAAAGTCTCTGTGTACACTATACAGAGGAGACTATGAGAGTGATGCGAGTCAGACTATGGCGACAGTCCACTGTCTAGGAAGAACTGAGAGCTAAAGCCCAGAGATCTGTGAGCACATGTCACTAAACACGACACACCATCCATATAGTGTCCATATAGTTTGGCATGTGGTTCACTGGGAACAGGGGACCTCTGTCTGAAGCTACCACATCCCTCTCCCACACCAAAACACTTCCTTATTTGCCACGCTATAATGTACAACATTGATGTTGCGAAACACATCGATGTTTCTGGTGGAAGAGTGCTGACTAGCATTGTTGTAATATTACTCTGTTATAGTTTTTCTCTATCATGGTGATGTTGCTTCAGATAACAAGACGTGAACAGACAAGGAAGCTGGCTCAATCTGTGGACTCCTCCCACCCCTCCCCTCTCACCTCCCCCTCACCGCAGCTCCTGGCAAGACACGAGGTGGAGGGACCACAGACCGCAAGAAACGACCAATACAGACCAGATGAGACCAAAATGAACCAAACAGACCACGACACACACTAGCTATAGCACTGAGACCATCGCTAGAGATAAGATATCGAAATTATCATCATCTGTATAATACAACAACAGCAGATGAGACA